ACAATCTGTCGACCACTGAGGATGCTTTCGATAAGTTACCCAGGTCTGCAAATGGATCTGTGTCCGTTAAGGATTTTGAGGAGTTTATAGGGAAGTACTTTGGTGGTGCAGGGGATGATTTGATTTTCCATGAGCCAGAAGACTTTGCCTTAGAGCCAGAAGGGTTCCTGCCAAAGGTGGAGAACCAAGAGGTCAGGGCATGGGCGCTGGAGGTTCATGCTCTCTGGAAGAATTTGAGCAGGAAAATCTCTGGTTCGGTTAAAGACCAGCCTGAATGCCATACTCTGCTTCCCTTGCCGGGGCCAGTTATAATACCTGGTTCACGGTTTCGAGAGGTGTATTACTGGGATTCCTATTGGGTGATCAGGTCAGGAGTTTTGAACTTTTTTTTATGATTTTACACCATTCATTGTTTGGTACTCTTTGGTTTATTTCTCATTCCATTTCTAGCTAATTATTAGTTTTGTTTTCAATATTAGTCTTGGTAATTACTAGTTTTAATTTTTATATTAATCCTTATATATGCAGTTACATCATAATATTTCATGTTTAACTTAATCCTATTCCGACCTTGAATTTGTTGGCCCTGAAAATATTCCTACATTTCACAAAATATTTCTGTACATCATGTTCTAACTCATAAATGAACAGTTTTACTTGATATAGAAGTTTCGAGGATTACAGGTCTACTGATAGATAATAAGTTTGAGATAGTTTAATTAAGTTTTCAAAGTTTTTTTCTTGGCATTTAGTTAGGGCCAAAAAGACATATCATTTTATGATGTCTGAATTGAATTGGACTCTTCAATTCCTCCACAAAAGGAATTTCAGTATAAGTATTCTTACAATTGTATGGAAAGCTTATATATGCTAGATTTGATGGAATAAAATGTTTACAGATCATTTATTGTAACAGAGTGTTTATGAGTGATAATGTTGTTGCTGACATTAGCTACAGCCTGTAGGCAATCAATTTTTGTCCACATTGCATATTCTTTACCACTTGTTTCGTAATATTCATATTATTTGAATTTGCTTCAAATAATTATATGCAAGATACTTCCAAAATCAATGTCACATTAAAAACATGCTCCAATTAAGTCTGACGGTCAAACACCATGGGCTTGAGGGCACTGGATC